AGTGGCTCGAGGACCAGTTGGTCATCTTCTAGGCGGTGAATGAGGGTTAGTAACTGATGAGTTGTGCAGTGGCTTATACTCAAGTCTTGCATCCTCGGCATTTTGGTTCAAGAAATTCAATTTGTTGCATTTTACCTTAATATGTATCAGAGATTGGTTATGTGGGTATTATGAGCTCAAGAGTAGCAATTCTTGGCTAGGACATTTCCGACGGTATGGAGAGGGTTGAAATTTTCGTCAGGCGATTTGATCTTGATATACTTTTTGTCGTAGCAAATAACTACAGTTGCTGTTGTGTTCCAACTTCCTTTTTTCCTCAAGTATAAGACGTTGCCTACTATATTCCCTGCTAGTTCCATGTTTTCTTCATCCTCATATATTTTTTCTTTGGCAATTACATTTTTGCGATAATAGTGAAAATAATACATTCCTAGGTCAAGTGTGTTTTTTCACTTTTGGACCAAATGTTGGAGAACCAAACCATTCTTTTTATTAGGTTGAAGTGTATTGTTAGGTATTAGTATAACATGTCACAATTGACAAATTACATGTGCAATATAAAGTTTAATATTTCTTATGTGAATCTGCTCAATTGACAAGAAGTTGCGTTGTCTTGCCTCGTTTAGTATTTTTTGAAAAAATAATGATTTATGAATAGTGGATTCATGATTTAAACTTAATGAGTTTTTTTAAGATTCTCAGAACTTGATGTACTGTTAAAAGTATGGGTTCAAAATCTAAAATTTATTGAGATTTTAGTAATTTCTATGTGTATATTTGTACTTCGTTTTTCGAAGTCAGATTCAGCTGAACCCATAACCAAAAGGCCAAATCCGCCTCTGCGCGGGTGCATTCTCCTTTTCATCCGTATGCTATGATTTATCATTTTTTTTAAAAAGAGGTCTTCATGGTTATGTAAATGGAATGGTGACATTAGTGATTAAATATTTACCTAACACTCAATGGTGTGGCCTAGTGGTTAATGAAGTAGGACGAGAATCATGAGTTTCAGGTTCAAATCATAGCAAGGCGAAAAACGCTAAGTGATTTCTTCTCATCTACCAAGGTCTCAGTATGCAAAGTTAATTGGTATCTGTGCTGGTGAGAGATAACAGGTACCTCGTGTCGTGACATGCCCCAAGGCCCAAGCTGGTCTGAACACTACCGGTATTTAAAACAAGAAAATGCTAATACATTACACGATATCGATTTTGGATTATAGTTTGGGTGACAGAGATCAGCAGAGCTTAAATCATGATAAATGTTTGGTTCTTCTACTTCTTCTTGTATTTTTACTAAATACTAGTCACAGTTTCTTGGGAGATTTCGTTTATGGGCTGATTTTTTTCATTTTTGTTGTATAGGACAGAAGGGATGGACTATAGTGTTGTTAACAGTCTCTTGAAATGTCTGAATTGTTTAGACAGTCATGAAGACTCAACTCCTTCAATCAAGGATCAAATCCGGACCCTTAAAGCGGATTTAAGGCTTCTCAGGATTGTTGATGCATGTAGAAACTCTGGTGCAAAATGCAGAATCAGATTTTCAATCTCTCTATGTTAAGAGTATAGACGGAAACGTGCCTATCCGCATGGCTCTACTGGTTTCTAATGCCTTGGGAAAGGTTAATGATTCGAAAGCAGAAGTTACACAAGTTTATGCAACTGTTTTAAGCTCAAAATGTTCTGATTCACATTTTTGTGACAAATTTGTGGTGGAATTTGCTGATTGTGTCCTGGAAAATCAATTGCCTTGTTGAGTACTTGATGTTTCTGAAAGATATTCCTGAGCGATATCCTGAGTTGGTAAAGTTGATCCTGATACACATTGCATCAATAGCCCATCCTGAGTTGGTAAAGAGGATCGAATTCAAATTCTTTACGAGGAAGTAGTGTTTCTGCAAGGCACCAGACGACTGTCGTTCTCTTGGAAGTGAGCTAAATGTTTTTATCACACAAGGGAGGGTTACATTGTCGATGGTTGGATCACTTATTATGTCACTCAGTAATAAGGCATCGAACGAAGACATGCTGAACAAAATGGAGTTAGCCACTTCTGTTTATCTAGAAAGAACTAGAATCATGAAGAGAGTGGCTAGAGACATAGGCTTTTTCAATTCCTTTTTAGGAAATCTGAAAGAACTCCTCCTCCATAAAGCTGATCACGTTCCTTTCCCCAAACATCATACTGCAAGAGTGCATGACGCGTTAGAGTATCTCAAGATTAATCTCTGGGATGTTGTCAAGGAGAACAATGAGCATCTGAAGGCACGTGTTATGCAAGCAGCCTATAAGGCGGAATATGGTGTAGTGTGGTTGAGATGTCTGATGTTGTAGAACAACTTAAGGTGATCCAGGCAGAGTTCAGTGACATATCTAGAACAGTAACATTTGAAACAGTTTGTGATGTTCGAGTGGTTTTCAGCTGTGTACTATCACGAACTAATGCTCCAACGTTCAACAATGATGTAGTGGTGGGTTTCACTGATGTGGTAGACAATGTCATTGATGTAGCTGAGGTCCTCAAACTACTTTCCCGAGCCTTTGAGGACGTGCAATGGGACATGAAAGACGGAGAGTTCCTGAAACTAAAATTCTTGAAAACATTGAACAATGGAACATCTCATCTGATTGCTTACCTTCCCTTGAGCATCTTGTTCTGCAAAGTTGTAAGAAACTTAAGGAGTTCCCTTCATGCTTAGGCGATGTTTCAACGCTGCAGAGTGTTGAGCTACACTGGTGCAGCTGTTCTTCTGTGAACTCGATTATCTCAATTCAAGAAGATGAGGGGTTCAAGGTCTATGTATACCCTCGAGAATTCGTTTCCTGATCATCTCCTAAGGGCCATTGTGACTAAGGTTTGGACTTTGAAGCTTTCATTTCTTTTTGCCAATTGATTTGTTCCTTTATATAGTTTATAGTTTTAGTTTTGTACACGTCGATGTAAATAACTTTTTACACTCTCAAGTCATCTAAAGGATATTTACAATAAATACAGATGATCTGATGGTGTAAAATTGTTTGAACTGACGATGTATATTACATAAACTCTATAGTTTATTGATTACTCCTTCCTTATTCCCTTTCACCCCACAAGTCTACTAGTATACAAGATATCATAAATGAATATCCTTGATTTCATATAATCATATTGTGTTGTTTACTTAAATAATTGAATTGCTTTTGAGTTTTACACTCTAATTGAGTAGATGGTGATAGTTCTGGTAGGAAAAGGAACAACTGATAGTTGGCCTTATTGGTTTCAAGGTGTATTTTAATACATAGATGATGATAATTCCGGTAGAAAAATGGAACAATTGATAGTTGAGATATGAAACTTGACTTCTTGTTTTCAACATTGATTTGTATATCTAGTTAATTTAAATAGAAATAAATTGGTTTTTATTTGTTGATGTAGGCTATTTTTCTCCTTAGTTAAGCATTGTCTCGCTTTCTGGACATGCTTGGTGGTAGTTTGGAGCACCGTATCTGCTTTTGCTTTCATACCACTAGTATTACTAGTACTATTCTTAGAGAGAGGAAACACCTCCTACTAAAAGTAACTCTGCAAACAAGGGTTGAATCCGAAACCTGTACTTTCCATTTCGTTAAATCTTTGATAGTTTTTAACAAATAATTATCAAATTGTTGTGTATAAGTACTATTTTTTCAATTTTAGAGAGACACTTCTCTATTCTAACTGGGAATAAATTTAATTTCTGTTTTTGGAGCTATTCATTAAAGAATTTCTAGGCCAGCAAATCATTTAAAAGCAAATTAGGTATAATTTTTAAAACTATATTGATAATGTGAAAATTCATTATAATATACATGAATATTGTAAGTGTTTTTTTAATTAATAGCTTCATTAGCAGTACAAATGTCAGCCTTTGGCTTGTTAGTAAACATTTATCATGCAATGATATATTAAATGCATCCTCATCACCAAAATTAACATTTACTTATACATGTTTTTATCTTAAGTTATGACTTAATTTTGTAAAGACAACAAAGTATTATTTGATATAAACATCAGGTGCGAATAAAATTTTATTCAACATGTTGATTTAATTCACGACCACTAGTGTAATATTTTTTTTATTTCACTTTGTTTGTCATAGTTTGACTTGATATTAGAGGTATTCAAAATTTATTTTTTATGAGTATAATTTTTAAAGTTTTAAAAATTGAATCTATTGTATTTTATATGTTTTTGAATCTACTTTTTATTTCCAATAAACTCACATATAAATTTATTTTTCACATGAAAAATACTTGATTTAGATGAACCTACCGCTAAATAGTTGCCTCTTCACTACTTAACACAAAATTTAATAAAGAAAAAAAAGACTTTATAATACTTTTAAAATTTACGATTTTAAATATATTATCGTATTTGTGTGATCATAAAACCTTTAAACTTATGATATTAAACATGAGATAATAATTGTATAGCTATAAAAGAAATTTCTTATTAAAAAATATAAAAATGTGTAGAAACGGAACTAGAGTATAACTTACGTTGATATAATATATAAATTTTAAAAATATTTAAATAATTATTTTATAAGTTAGAGTGTTTAACTGGCACGGTAAAAACTTGGGTGAATATGTAATCATTGTTCATGTGCTTATTTTTTTATTCCTAAAAGTTGCTTTACTTTAAACTAAAAATCAAATCTTTTTGTCTATTTCCATGGAAAAAAAAGAATCTTGATTTGTCCCAAAATTGAAAAAAAATATACTAAAAATTTCTCAACAAACATTAATCTATGGCCGCTGAAATTTTGTTATTGTCATATTCATCAGTTCTCTTCAGTAGCTTAAGCTTTTTCTATATGTACTTTTCTTTATAGTTCCTTTTGCCGGCAAATGGTGTCGCTCAATTTCTCTTTCTTTTGACAAAAAAAGATTTTTTGTTGTTGTATATATACACTTGTGTACATAAATTTGTTGGTGGGGTTTGGGTATTTTGTTGTAACTTTGTTGATCTTGATAATTTTTTTGGTTTGTTAATGGCTATGGATGAGGAAGCACCCCTTGTTGTTGAAATTTCGAAAAATGAGAACTCAATTGTGAATCATGAAAAGGATGTTTATATTCTGAGCTCTGCTTTTTTGTTGATTTTTTTGGCTTATGGGGCTGCTCAGAATCTTGAAAGCACTATTAATACAGTAAGGTTTTTGTGTATTATCTATTTTTAATGAAGTTTTTGGGGTTATTTAGTGTTGAATTGTGATTTTGGATAGAGTTTGTTTGGCTCTTATAAGCTCCCATTTGGCTATAGTTTTTGTTGTGATTTTTTGAATTTGAAGTTGTGTTTGGAAATGAATTTTACTTGGAAAAAGTTTGAAGTTTTGTGAGTGGAAGCCCCAAAAAGTGATCAGAGTTTAAAGATTAAATTTTCAAAATCTATGGCCAAATGCGAGCTTAGACGTTGAAGTGATACTGTGATAGTGAGTTTGAGGTTTTCTTTTTTGTGTTTCAGGAAGGAAATTTAGGGACCATTTCACTGGGGATATTGTATTTGTCATTTATGTTCTGCTCAATATTTGCTTCATTGGTGGTTCGGAAGCTTGGGTCGAAGAATGCTTTGATCCTTGGCACTACTGGCTATTGGTTGTTTGTTGCTGCCAATTTGATGCCTAATTGGTATGATTTCTCTTATGTTTAGTGCATTTTGCTTTTCCAAGATTAAATCTTTGACCTATAGGGAAGGATTAAGATTTAGGCTATTGAGTTGGTAGTGATTGAATTTTATGAAGTGAGTTGTGATTGTAGTTCTTTTGAAATTGGATTTGCGTTTAACAATGTTTGTGTGCTTATGGATCCTTAGTGTGAGTGGAAATAGGAATCTTGTACTCCATTGGAATAAATATAGAGGTCTATCAGATTTCATATTTCTCCTTGTGAGGTTGTGGCATTAGCCACGAAGAAGTATTGAATTACAGAGCTACCTCTACCTCTCCTCGGGTGTGTCATGTCCTGTCTAATCACCTCTCCCCAGTACTACTTCGACCTACCTCTACCTCTCCTCAGATCCATATTGCCAACCTCTTGCACTTTCTCACTGGGGCATCTGAACATCTTCTCTTTACATACCCGAGCCATCTCAGTCTCACCTCTCTCATCTTGTCTACCACGGGGCCCACTCCCACCTTGTCCAGAATATCTGCATTCCTAATCTTTTTCATCTTCTGAATGTGCAGGTTCTTGACCATCCAATACTCTGCCCCATACAACATAGCTGGTTTAACAACCACTTTATGAAACTTAGGTTATGCCAAGACAAACTGCAAGACCATAGAAGCCAGCCAAACCTATGTTATAGTCGTCCTTTTGATGTTAATAGAATTAATAACAGACTTGCCATCAATCTTTATGCACATACTTGTCAAGGAAGGACTATTGCTTATTCACATCGGAATTCTCCTCTCCTAGGTAATGCCAGAAAGACAAACTGCATCCATAGAAACATAGAGTCAGACTCTGGAAGAAAATGAAGAAATACTTGAGGATGAATCTGCTTTGCTCATAGGTTAACTGAATATGATAACTGAAGCCCCTAAAACAGTTAACAGTAGCAACGTCTGCTTGCTCTATCAGAGATGGCGATGCCCTCTAGTCTCTAGTCAGTTATTGTGAATGCTTGTTTTTACAAAGCAGTCCATAAACAACAGACTGCAGATGTCTCTACTTGATAGTAGTCCTAATGCATTATAGTGTAGTTAAAGCTTGAATCTTCTCCATCGCTGTGGCTGGACTTATTTAGTGGCTTATTCAAATAGTCATCGTTTTCTGTTGTGGCTGCAACAAATGGGCTGTAAAGGAGTTTATTGAGTTGGGTATGATGCTCGATAGATGTGTGTAGCCCTGGAAGACTATGATGACTTTTAGTTGGCTCTGGATAACTCTGCTGTTCCTCCTTACCTTTCACTGGAAGAAGTCATCAGAACCAAGTTGGGAGCTGTTTCGTTGTTCCATAATAACTAAAGTCAATATTCCTTATCAAAAAAGAAAAGGAACTAAAGTCAATATAATTTAAATGGGTAGTATCTGTATTGCATCTTTGAGCTTTCTTGAACAATTCTATCTTGATTTTAGAACTCAGAGTGTTGTATGACTAAATTTTTTCCATTGATAGCTCTAAGATTTAATTTCCTAGGGGAAATTTTCTATGACTTCTTTTCCCTCAAGTTTAGTTCGAATCAGGCATAGAGCCTTCTTTTCTTTCCTTATGTACCAGGCAAAAGATATGCTTGGTTCATGTGGTCCAAAGTGACAACATTTAACATGATTTGATGCGCTGTTTGACAACTATTTCTTCTATTCGAGACATAGAAGCAGTGACTAAGTCATGTTCTGAAAATGAATGTCTCAGGATAATAGACATAGCATCCTACAATTACTCTTGCCTTTCTTCATTTCTCATAAATTTACTTTGGGAGATTGGTACTTTAGAAAATACTAATTTCCGAGGGCAGTGAAGGTGCTAGGTGAATCATATGCTTACATCTGGGACTTAATGGTACATTAGTCTGGTTGCACTTCCAGTATAGATTTTACTTTCCGTAAATTCTTCTCTTTTCATGTATATTCCTGTATTTTTACCATGAGACGCGTGTTATCTTGATTTTCTAGGATATGACTAAGTTATACTTTATTTGAAAAGATATAAATGAGCTATAGCCTATGTATATCTTATTTTGGACTCGTAATGGGCATAATCCTAAGGAAATTAGTCAATGACCTTTAACATACCTCATAAATGATCAGAACATTTTTAAAAGTTCTCTCATCTTGATTTTACAATATGAGTTTAATTCTTGCCTCATTCCTGTGAGATTTTAAAACATAATTATTCAAAATTAATTATGTTTAAAATTGTGTTTCAGTTATTTGGCATGTACTTATCTTCCTGCATCAAACATAGATATAAATTTAGTCCATTTACACAATTTTCCTGTTTTCCTTTTCTACTACCCATCTTTTATGGATTATGCTTTCTTTCTTAATGCTAACACTTTGTAAGGTTTTGGGTGTTTTTTTTCTTGATACATGTTTGTTTAGGATGTTCGTGAATTTCAATTGTCAGCAACTGATTAAACCATCTTGTAGGTATACCATGGTCCCAGCTTCTTTATACCTTGGTTTTGCTGCCTCCATAATATGGGTTGGGCAGGTATGACTTTCTTTTAGGAGTTGAACTTTTTTTTTGGCTTCAGCAATAACCTTAATCTTGTCATTTGTGGTTAGGGAACATATCTTACTTCCGCAGCACGCAGTCATGCAAATGATCATATCTTAAATGAAGCAGTTATAATTGGTAAATTCAATGGTGTATTCTGGGGAATGTTTGCAAGCCATCAGGTACCTTTTATGAACTTTGCAAGTAAAGCTTCTTAATACATATTTCTACTCACATGATATTTCCATACACATAACTTTCATCATCCTGCAGTTTGTTGGAAATCTTATCACTCTTGCTTTGATGAGAGACGAAGAGGTAAGCATCTACTGAGATTAAATGCCCAACTGTTCAAGATCTTTTTTGTCTTTCACTAAGATTTGCTAATTTTCTGATGATACAGGGAGGAAGCACTAGTGGAACAACTGTACTTTTCTTGGTTTTTGTTTGTACTGTAACCCTTGGTGCCGTTTTGATGTGCTTCTTAAGTAAGAGAGCTGGTAAAGAGGAGGCAAGACAGCAAGACTCCTCCGCTAGTTCCGTTTCTTCTGTGGCAACTTTGCTCAAGTCTATCATTACCCTTTTACAAGACATAAGAATGCTTTTGATCATCCCTCTTATTGCATATTCAGGTTTACAACAAGCATTTGTATGGTAAATGATGCTTCTAATAGTTCATTATAGTAGAGTTTGGAGCTTCTTGTGCTGTATTTTGATTTACAATGTGTTTCAGGGCTGAATTCACAAAGTATATCGTTCAGCCTACGATGGGAGAGAGTGGTGTTGGTGGTGCAATGGCCGTATATGGGGTTTTTGATGCAATTGTAAGTATGCAAAATCAGTAATAGACTAATTCAATCGCTTCATTTTTTTGTTAAGTAAGGATTTTATTTAAAGACTACCAACAAGCTACCAATTTTCTCTGGTAACACCAAAGATATGCCCATTATGCTGAAGAAAATTTCCCTGCATTGTCTTGAAAATCTGCAATGCAAGAAAAGATGTTCAATGGTTTCCTCCTATGAATTGCAGAAATAGCATTTGCTGCACAAGGAAAAATCTCTCCTTAATTTGTTCTGTGTTTGACAAGCATCCCTAGCTGCTATCCAACTAAAAGAAGCTGCTTTCACAGGTGATTTGGTTTTCCAAATCATCTTCCAGGCCAGTGAGGGACTAAACTGTTGCAACAACATTTTGTAGCAGTTATTGACCGAGAATACCTTATCCTTACTGTTAACCCACTAACCTGTCTGCTCTGTCTTGTTCTATTGAACATGAATTCAATTGTTGTAGTAGTTGGCAAAAACTGTCTATTTCCCAATCATTTAGATTTCTTCTAAAAGTAACACTCCATCCAGTTGCTGAATTAAATTCTACAAGATAACCCTCTTTATTCAAAGCACAGTTGAACAAGACCGGAAACCTGCTTTTGAAGCTCTCATTTCCACACCAAATGTCCATTCAAAATCTAATCCTCCTACCATTTCCCACCTCTAATCTAGTGACCGGTAGAAATTCATCCCATCAATCACTAATTTCCCCACAGCTTTTCAATTGTGAAGGATTTTGTTTCCACCCTAACTTTGCACCATATATAGCATCCAAAACTTGCTGCTAAATCTCATCACTTTCCTTACTATATCTCTAGAGCCATTAAAAAAGTATTTTATTATGCATTTTTAGATTCCTTACCTGCAGTCCACCATCCTTTTTTTCTTTAATAACCGTTTGCCTCTTGATCAGATGACTCTTTTTTCAGTTTGAGTTCCCAGCCCATTGGAAGTTTCTCCTTATAGAGTCTAATTTCCTTTCAACTATTGTAGTCATACTGAATTAAGAGATAGTGTATGTAGGAATCCCATCCAAGGTACTGTTAGTAAGAATCGGCCAGCTCCCAAAAGATAGGTATTGCTTTTTCCATGGAGTGAGCGTATTCTTGCACCTATCAACAACCCCCAGCCAAATGCTACTGCCCTTTCTTTTTGCCCCTAAAGGCAGCCCCATAACGAGTCATAGGTCGACTCGTTTTGCAGTTTGACTGTGTTTCTTTGAGCAAACTGCTTTTACTCTTTATGGTACTGGATGGCATGCTATTGACATGTTTGCCACCGTTGTGGTATGTTCTTCAGTCTTCTACGAGGAAACTAGAGCAGTAAATTTGTCCTTTTCACATTCTCATTTGCTGTGTTTCTAGTCTATTGTATGCCTTTAATTATAATTTTTTGGTTGCATTTTTATTTATACTAAGGTAGTCGTAGTAATGAATGTATGGTCTGAGAGAGTAATTGATAATCTTGAGGGATAGAAGCGTAGTGGCATTGGATTGAGAACTAACCCAAGTAACAGATCATCCATAAAATAGTCATTGCAAACAATCTACTCTAGCTGTATTTTAGGTGCATTTAAGTCATTAAGATACAAAGATCTTGTGTCTGGGAAATATATAACTACTGTATAGTGCTAATTGGTGGCAAATTATGTTGTAATCAAAGTGCAATTTATTATCTATTATGTTTGATAGAATTTAACTAGAATACTGTTCTTGAGTTACTTTGTATTGACAGTAAAAACTGATTTGAATGACATAGAGCTTTTACTTAAGTGCAACTAATATCTTGTTACAATTATTCCCTATATAGTATTAGTTTTCTCAGCGTGACTGAAGGAACTGTGTAAATCAATTATTCACGTGAGCCCAGTGAATATAAAAAGAAGACTCAAAGAGCGTTTGCTCATGTTCGTAAACATTGAAAAATCTTCAAATATTATTATAACAGATCAATGACAACTTATTTGGAGGATTAGTAAGTAACTTTAATATGACTATGATCCACAACATATCCATTTCTGTTCTTCCCTTGTGAAAACATCCTACATAACTGTAAACATGTTCTCTCATAAACTTATGAAGAAATCACATTAGTTTAAACTGTATATACAGAAAATAATAACATGACTAATATAAAGGCACAGTACATGTTTTCTATTAAATCAACCTTTGCTAATCGAGAGAAAGGGTAGGTACTCTAGATTGTGGCAGCTCCAGATATATACTTTTCCATTAACACAATTACTGGAAGTTCTGAACTCAAACATAATCTTGATACCTGCTTGAATTTTACTGTGTCTGGAATAAAAATGATTCATATTTAGGTATACTGCCCGAGTATGGAGATTTTCCCACGACTGATAAAATTATTTACCTATCAAAAAAAATGAAGAAGAAATTTAGAAATTAGGACAAAAAATGACCCTAATCCAATGGATTGACATACTACCTCTGCAATGTTTGCTGCGTTGGTTTTGGTTGCTCACTAATTTTATCTAGCTTGTCATAAAACTATACAGTTTTTAGATATTCTATCATAGCTATATTTTGTAATGCTTTCAAATAGGTTTATGCAAATCTTAGACATTACTTATTACAGTAAGCTTTTTCAAATTTACTTCAAAATTTGTAACTCTGCACGCACATTCTCTATAGAACTGTGGGTATGTTAGATTTGATAGTAGTACCCAGGCAGAATTTGAACTTATCTGATATAATGCTGTGATTATTATTCTATTGTATCATTGTCTCAGTGTTCTCTATTGGCTGGGCATTTTACCTTTGGTCTCTCATCTATCTCGATAATTGTCTCGGGTGGAGCTTTAGTTCAGGGTGCTGTATTAGTATGGATTCTACTGGCTCACAGGTTTGCTTCGTGTAATGTTCCCTTGTTACTTTTTGGAAGAAGTTGACACTGGTACTTGAAATCTTATCGTTTTTCCTCTGTTGTAGTGTGACTGCTGGAGCTCTCGGCATACTATATCCACTTCTCGTTGCAGCCTTGTGGGGCATAGGTGATGGAGTCTTGAATACCCAGCTAAGTGCATTGCTCGGGATACTCTTCAAGGATGATCTGGTACTAATTTGCCAACTTTTCCCTACATTTTTGTCTTCTCTGAAAATAGTTCCTGAATATAATACTTGGGGTGGTTGATAAAAGTTGAAAAGCCTTTACCATCATAGTACAAAATTGTATGATTCCCTCTAACTGTGTTTTTTAAGTTTTCCGCTGATTTATAGCTATAAGGATCCATATGAAATTAAAAGTGGTCATGAGAATAATGCGGACAACAAATAAAGATAGCTGTTATAAGTCGCTGCGCTAAGTTTCATAGACTAGACTGCCCAGGGGTCAGGGTGAGTTCTCCCATCAAAGAAATTCAAATCTTATAGTCATCACTGAAGAATTCATGCATAACATTGAATGGCAAAAGGTTGCCGGTGGTGTTTAAGCTTCAATCACCTGAAATGCTACTCGACATAAAAACTATAGGGAAGGAAGGAGGCCTGGACATTGTCTTTATGGGAATTCAAAATCTTGTTAACTGATATAGGTCTTGATTTTGGCAGACCAGGAGAAGATGTCATGATCCCTTCTATTTTTCTTTCATTTTACTTATGTAGAAACTAGTACAAAAATGGCTTAGACTGTGTGGCAAGGCATGTTCTGACTAGGTCAAGTGAAGTAGGTTAGAAAGATCGCGACCCTGACCTCGACGCCTTGTTAAATGCAGACGTGTCTGAAGGCTCTACTGCTGAAGCATATTGTATACTTCATAGTAGATATGATATTGTATACTTGAAGCCGTGGAAACAGCCTCTTGCAGAAATGTAGGGTAAGGATGCATACAATAAACCCTTGTGGTTCGGCCCTTCCCTAGACCCCATGCATAGCGGGAGCTTTAAGTGCATCGAGTTTTTTCTGTAGATATAATTAAGTAAATAATGTTGTGCTCTCACTACTAGCTTAAGCTTTTATAAGACATTCATACAATTCAACACGATATCAAAGTAGAGAAAGGTATTGGGTTCGAGTCTCACTGCCACTAGTTATCAAAACCATTTCCATGTACTTGGCCATGAAAAAAGAACCGGGTGAAGACATAATTAAGTAAATACACATTTAGAGAGAGCACACTATGAGTTGAATAAATAATTAAGTAAATCTAAGTGCTAAGTTTTTAGATGAGATGATCATACGCTTCAATATGTTAAATGGAGGTAAAAAAACATGATCTTACATTTTGGCGTTTAGCAATGATATATGCTTGAATGTAGTTTAATGGCAATCTCCTCAAATAGAGAAACATAGTGTGTTCACCATAAATTCTCATTTAAGGTTTACCCAAACAAAATGGTATAAACATCACTGTTGTTCAAGATTCATGTTAATGATGTGCTGAATTCTATCTAGAGGCGTCTTATTCCGTTCTGTTACTTAAAATATTATGCCAGTTTTTCGTTGGATGATCGTTTTCTTTACACTGAACATCTAATTATTTGGTGCTTAACAGGAAGGAGCATTTGCCCAACTTAAGCTTTGGCAGAGCTTTGCAATTGCCATAGTCTTTTTCCTCGCCCCCTACATCTCGTTGCAGACAATGCTAGTGATTATGTTCGTTGCCCTTTGCTTCTCCGCTCTTGGTTTTCTTTTCTTAACTCTTAAAGTAGAAAGAGCATTCTCATATCGAGCTGCCTAAGGCGATGCCAACGAGACATTGTCTTGTATTGGCTATGCTATCGTCTTGTTCTGTATACATCTTGTGTTTATATTTGGACCTGTCCTGTGCAGTGTTTTCTGTTTCATTGAGTTCTTAAGAATTCCATTTCACACTATCTATTCTCTGCTATGTTCTTTCCTTGTTTCAGTTGAGTTATACTCCCTCTGTTGCAATTTAATGATCTGAGTTTTGACTTGGCACGGTGTTTATATAGGAGCGGTATCCATAATCTATCGAGTTTTGAATTATGTGTTGCAACTTTATTGCTTATAAAAGGAAAAAAAATAGGCTTAATACATAAACGTATCTTTTAACTTGGCCTCTTTTGATATTTATGCCGTCCAACTTTGAGTATGCACAAATAGACACTTAAACTTGTATAGAGTTGATCAAGTAGGCACACTCGTCCTACATGACAATTTACATCTTACATATATTATGTCATATATGATATGTTACTTGTTCAGTTTTATATAAATTTAAGTATCCACGTGCGTATACCAATTACAAGTAACCATCAATTTCCATCCAACCTTTAATCACATTGAGTTAATGGCAGTGCCATTGTTATCATAGTCATTATGATTATCATTATCATCATTATTATTGTCACTGTCATTTCATATGTCATTATCATTAGTTTCTTTATCTTTAATTTCATTATATTCTCATTGTTTCTAGGGTTAAAAACACCTAAATTTATGGTCAAAGTGCAATATATAAGTGTCATGTTGAGCACTTAATTTTTTTAAATCATATTTATATTAAAATTATGAAATAATTATCATATTTTTCTCACCAAACCCATACCAAATAAATTAAAATAATATAATGCCATGTCCACGTTGTCCACCAAAAACAACAGTCCTTTATTATCTCACCAAACTATCAAAAGATTAACTTCATCTTGTTATATATAGATATAGAGTTAGTCAACCAATTATATATCCATCCATTATTACCATATATTTAATTTAAATACTAAAAATAAATTTTACCCTTATATCAAGCTTGCACTATTTGACTAATTCCTACCATATAGATATTAGATAACTTTGTTTACGAACACTCATTCAAACTCATTTTTTTTATCCTCTGAGAAAATGAATTCATTAAGGTAGAATCATTAAGAATTGATCGTTAGTACCACATTTTATAATAACCTATTAATAATATAAAAATTCTTTTACACGATCAATATATATATATAAGTTAAACTCTAACAATTTGAGATCCGAGAGTTGCTCAGTTGGTTAGGAACCCTCGCTCCTTCCCTTGTCGCGAAGTATCGAATCTCATCCCCCTCTCTCCCTCCTCCCTCTCCCCACCCACCACCCACCCAACACACACACACAAAAAAGTTACTCTTTCCGTCTCAATTTATGTGACACTTTTCATTTTTCGAGAGTCAAACAGTTTAAGTTTGACCGACAATTTATGCATGAAATTTTCAAATTTTTTGAAATGAAATTTATATATTTATAAACTACGTTAAAAGTAATATAAGTCACAATAATTGATAATTCAAAATATTTAAAAGATGTATGAAAAATTTATGATTAAAAATAGACTTGTTTGAATTTTGAAATTCGAAAAATGTCACATTAATTGAGACGGAGGGAGTAAAACTCTAACAACAACTAAACTACTTGAAAGTTGAAACCATGTTGTGCATTATATCATTTCCAAAGTAGTTAAGGGTTAGGTCCATCTTTCCCATAACACCACCAACCAACAAAATATCCTTATTATTATTATAAAATTATTATTATTATACCAATATTTGATTTGACCAATTAATAAACATATACTAAAACCTCATTATATTCATTCATCTCTTACCAAAAAAAAAAAAAAAAAACTTCATTTTGTTGAAGAAAAAAAAACATGAACTTCACTTTCTTGAACTCAATTCTTGAAAGAGTGTCATTAAGGCTACCATTACTATTCTATGCAGCAACATGGACAACTATTTTGACGATAATCGTAGCTGTGGCATCATTTTCTCCAGAATTTGCCTTTGTTTCCGCGATAACACCTTCTTCTTCCTTCTCTCAAGCTTGTCATCATCATCATAATCGTAACGAAAATGGATATGTAAGAATACCATTGGATCTTCCATTAGAGGTTTTTTGTTTCCCTTCTCAAGTTTTTAAAAGATCTCAAATGGATTTAATTGTTCCTCCTATTTTTGCTGCTACTATTGTGGCTGTATCTGCTTATGTTGTTAAAGCTTTTGCTTTATGGGAAGTTGATGATCAACATAATCAATTTTGACTTTTTGTTTTTTTGTGTAATATTTTACTAGTTATTATCTCAGAAAGTTATCTTTCTTTTTTTATTTCAATTTTTTTACTAAAGAAAGTGGACGTTCTGAGATAATAAGTATTAGTTTAGCGATCATATGAGAAATGAACTTTATTATTTATGTATCGATCTCTAGTTTTTAATTTCTCGTTTTCTTTGGATGATGATGTTTGTTCATCGGAATTTTCGATGGAAGTTGGGTATTATAGGTTCCATATCGATGAGTCAAATTTTGATGAAGGTCTCGTGGAAAATTAGCAATTTTTTTATATTAGATGTAACGATTTATGTTTTGAAAGAAATTCTAATTAGGGAATTCAAAAAACACTATGTTAAAAAGTATGTTTCTTCATTTATATATAGAAAATTTGATAAATTATTATAAATTTACAAAAAAAAAATAAAAAATTAACCTAGGTAGTACAATTTTATTCAATTGAACTTTCTTCTTAAATTTGAAATAGTGTAATTTATCTTGAAATTAAATATTGTAGCTTATTGTAAATAAAATAAAAACAAACAGATTTGTTCTTCCTTTAGAATAGGTCCGATCCATTCATTTTTTTACTCACTTTTTTTCGACCTTTTTTTCTATGATGAGACATTCAATATGATATTTATCCTTCACGCACAAAGTAGAATATCTTACTTGCCTACGTGTCATCCTTAAAATTCAGAAATTTACTTTTATAGTTTTTTTCGTATTTTTAGGTTCTTTACCCTTATTTTATTTTTACCTTTAAATTCGTTTCTTCAACTCGCGTGTTCCTTCTGTTTGTTGTATCACTTCGATTGCATCTCTTTAGGAACTATTTATAAAATCTAGACAAATCATATCCGTTATTGTATTTTCTTCTTCATGACAAATTTCATCTGTAATTTCTGCGGAACTTTGTCAATTTCTTGAAAGTCTACCTTGGATCTTCATTAAAAAATAATAATGAAACAAAACTATCATTTCATGGTAGTTTTTTCCTCCATTCAACATGTCAAAAGAAAAATTATTTTAATTGCTCAATTCTTAAACAACTGATCACAACCATGACAATATTTTGTCTCATGCCTACTTCTTTTTGTGGGCTTTTTCCTCCTATCATCACTTTGTCTGCAACTTATGTTAGTATTTTATTCAATGATCTATAATTTTTTTTATCTTTTATGAATTTTTATTGAATTAATTTTGTGGTTTTGGTTATGAAAACATTCTAAGCATTCTTGACGGAATCAAAATTAAGGAAGAGACAAAAAAAAAGAGAATAAATTTCACAACAATTTGATAAGGTACTTGTGTTCGTAAAGTTTGGCCGATATGGAAAAACTGCAATCCTTCGAAAAATTAACAATTTTTTGAAAAGTCACAACCTATCAAAAAAGTCACAATCCTTCAATTTGAAAAGGTGTTTGCTTTTAATATATTTTATAATATAAATAAATATAAAATGAAATATTTTGTAGGATTTGGGCTAAGCCTTTTGGTATTAGTAGTACTTATCTATAGTATGAAATATAGAATATGTGCTAAATTGGGTGTTAAGAAGAATAGAAAACTTTGAAAATTTGTGGTTTAAAAATGTGAGAAAACACCTCTATTTATAGCCAATAAAGGGTAGTATGAACAAGTTCTTATTGTGCCTTATCAGAAAAGTCACAACCCTTCAAAAAAAGTCAAAAGTCTTTTTTTTTCAAAACATGTCTTGCTTATTTATAATATATAATAATTACAAGAGAGGGAGACATAAGGCCTAACACCTCTTCACACGGAGGAAAAGTCACAACTCTTTGGAAAAGTAATAATCCTTCGAAAAAATCACAACTCTTTAGAAAAGTCATAATCCTTTGGAAAAGTCACAATCCTTCAATGTGATCTTTTAATATATTTTATATTATAATATAAATTACTATAAAATATGTACTAAATTGGGTATTTTAAGAAGAAGAAAAGAATAGAAAACTTAGAAATTCGTAGTTTAAAAATGTGAGGAAACTCCCCTATTTATAGTCATGAAAGATAGTACGGGTATGTGCTTATTGTGCCTTATTAGAAAGACACAACTCTTCTAAAAAGTCACAACCCTTTAGAAAGTCACAACTCATCGAAAAAGTCACAACTCTTTAGAAAATTCACAAATCTTAAGAAAAGTCACAACCTTTTATAATAGTCATAACCCTTATGAATAGTCACAAATCTTTGAAAGTTCACAACTCATCGGAGGAGTCACAACTTTTTGAAAAGTCACAACTTTTCGAAAAAGTCTCAACCCTTTAATGTGAAAAGGTATATACTTTTAATATATTTTATGATATAAATATTTAAATAAATATAATATAATATAAAAGATATACTAAATTGGTTGTTTTTAAGTTGGGCGTATTATAATAATTTAATATTCAAGTTAGGGAGTTCATGCTTTTAAGCTAGTATAGATAGATAGATACAATAAAATCCCAATAAATTAATACTTGATAAATTAATAATATCTCTAAGATATTTTTTCCTCCGATCCCGACTTGGGCCATTGGAAACAATTACTTAGTTCGATAAGATAATAATATAATATATTTTCAGAAGACCCTTATATAAATATATAGTCCCATTAATATTATAAATTAATAATTCTTTAAAAGTACAAATATCTAAGACAATTTAGTAAAATGTAATTCTTTTGTGTTTTATTTTTTTGTGAAATTTTAAATCTAGTTGAATTCATCTCTAACTTTTCTTATAGCATCCAGAAGTTCCGATGTTGTCTTTTCGAACCGCACTACAAAATTGTGAAAAGTTCTAGATATAATAAGTATTTTCTTACGTATAACTGGTTTTAAAGGTATTATATCATCCACAATTTCATAATTACTTCTAAGTTTTAGACCTCTGAATATATGTATCATTTTCACCTGGAAAATCCAATAGGTTATTAACGTCAATTTTATTGTAGTAACCGAGATCATTAATCATGACCTCAAGTTCATGAATAACAGTTTCACAAGTGGAGGCTAACATGCAAGTCCACGAACCAAAAATGAACCATTGACCCTTCAAGGCTCCCTATACGGACCGTTTAGGGGTCCACGACCCTTTTAGGAAGGGTGGCCAGCCGTCCAGGGCTGCCAGGGTGAGGGTCACCTGGATGGGACCCTAGACGGTACGTGGTGGCTTGCACGATCCATTTAGGAGTCCGTACAAGTCACTCATCAGTTTTTAAGTTTTGGGTCAGTTTTAAACAATCATATCTCTCAAAAAACAATGAATCAGGTGACCTATCAAATTAAAGGACTTTGAGTCTTCTTTTCAACACCACCAAGTTTGCCTTATTTCATGTTCAGAGTAAAAAGTTATGCTCGTTTCAGTGAAGCCCTATCGGACAGGTGTAGCTTCACGACCAGTTATATGACCCTTGAAGTGTTTCACGGATCGTGAAGCCGTAAACGGTCCGTGAAACCTCCTATTTAAGGCACCTTGACAGTTTTAAAAGCTGAATCATTTTTGTCTTTCCCCTATGCGTTTGGTACTTAAACTACATCGTTTAACCCCTATTCTAAGCCTAAACCATGATGTTTTACACCTAATTAAGGGCTTAGAAAGTGTTAATCAATTATTTTACGTTCATTAACACTTCAAGACATTATAGCAAGGTTCCAAGAGCAAAAAATCTAGGGTTCAAGCATTCTTCGAGTTTCATCGATTTCGCCAAAGAAATTTGTTCTTCCAGGTATGTAAGGCTATCATAGTGTTGTACTAGTTTGTCCTCATGCCCTACATCTACTTTCAAAAGAGTAATCTAGGGTTTTATACTTAGATTTGAGTATTCTTGAGATGAGTTGATTTGAGTTCTTGAGTTCCTGATTTTTTTTTGAAATTCTATTCCTAATTATTTAATTGTCATATTGTTATTGAGATCCTTGAGTTAATTCGTTCATGCTTATATTTCAACATGAGCCCTATTTTGAGTTATAAATCTTGATAATTTTAAAGCCAACATTTGTGTTGTAAACTGAATTTTTGAGGAAGAAAAAAAGAGTTTGAGAAAGAGTATAAGGGAATTAAGTATTCCCAAATGTTTCATTTTTACATGAAGAAAAATAATATTTTTTTGAAAAGTTAAAAGAGTTTTCAGAAAGATTGAGTACAAATCAGTTACCTCTTAAAGAAGCCCTTTTTGAGTAATTATCCTAATCCAGAATGTATTTTTACATTGAACAAAATGAAACCTTGTTTTCTAGATGAGTATTGATTTTAAGAGATATTTCGGAGCAGTTACCTATTTTAAGAGGATAGTTTGAGCAATTATCTCAAACCAGAGAAATAATATATATTTTTATATATTTGAGCAAGCGTATATATTATTGGGAGTAGTATTGAGCACCGATATAGGGGAGAGTTCAAAAAACTCATAGCCCCCATAAATCATGTCTTGCCAACATGAGTACAAGATCATACTTTTTAGATGAATCCTTAGTGCCTTCAGATAGAGCTTAGTGGATCCACTTAGTTGAGAGGTTCTATATTCTGGCACAATGTAGGATAGTTCTGGCAATGTGGACAACACATTGTATCATCACGTAGCTCATAGTGATGGTTGTCAGTTAGAGAATCTCGAATAGAGTTAATGTGTATTTTTATATATCACTTATTATGTTGAATTCAGAAATGAGTAAATATTTTGTAAAGCTTTAAATGATTTAACTCCTTTAATTCTTTACATTCAGCTTGAGTATAGTTTTTATCTAATGCTACCCTTTCATTCAGTTATTTAACTTCGGCTATACTACATACTTGTACATTAAAATGTACTGATGTCATTCGACCTACATCTTTTTATGATGCAGAAACATGTGTTCATACTTATTAACAGGCGCTTTGTTGAGATCACTCTACACTTCAGCTAGCTTTTGGTGAGCCTTCTTATATTCTAGAGGACTTCACATTACTTTTAGTTTAGTTTTTTTAGGCGTCATGGGTCTTGTCGCGACACATATCTTAAACATTAGAGTCTTCATAGATAGATAGAGTTGAAGAGTCTTTCATAATTTACTTTTCCTTTTGATGTTTTTGCAAACTATTATACTTATGTTATTGAGTATTTTACAAACAGTTTGAGTTGAGTATTTACTTTAAGTTTAAATATTAAAAATTCTATTTTAAACCCATTACCGCGTGAATAAGTATTTCACTAAGTTGTCAGTCAGATCAAAGATTCGCTTGGGGATCATAAACGGTTCTTGAGTGCCAGTCACGTCCAGGGTGTAAACTCGAGGCGCGATATCTAGTCAACCAAATATGAATATATTTACTAGCATGAAGGATTTCTTTCCAAAAAACTAAAACATATCACTTACTTTTAAAGAAAAACAGTCAAGTCTATTAAATGTCAAATCAGATTATTTCTTATACAATTCGATTAGTCAACTCAATTTTCTTTAATTTCATGTTAAGAGAGACAATTATAAGGAAAAAACTTCTCTCTGTTAAGTAATTATTTAGGAGTTCTCAATTTTTTGTGACGAAAAGATGAATGATGCAGATGTGAGGGGTAAATGTGCAGCATGTAAGTACCAAAACAACATATGTGATGAGAATTGTCCATTAGCTCCATTTTTTCCTTCCAACAAAGTTGATGAATTTGATAAAGTTATTCGACTTTACAGCATAGACACTCTCATAAATATGCTTAATTCTGTTACTGCTAATGAGGAAAAGGCAAAAATGGCTGAAACCCTAATTTTAGAGGCTAAGATTAGATATGAAAATCCTGTGTACGGAAGCATTGCCGTTATAGAAAAATTGAATTTAGAAATTGAAGAAACTCATAAGGAGCTTGACTTAGTACAAAAAACAACTGCTTTTTACAAAGAATTGGGTGAAAGATCATCCTTGAACAAGGTATGTTTTTTCTTTAATTTTAATTTGATTTTCTTTATATTTTATTTTTTTTGGTCTATGTTTTTGTCCTATTGTATTCGATGTTTATTTTCGAAATTATCAATTAAAGTATATTATATACATCACTTGCTCTTTGTGAGATCTTTTGTTTTTATATTTATCAATTAGTTATCTAATCATGATTGAATGATATGTGTTTTCACTTTAAATTGTTACGATTAAATTATTTGATTTATTATCAATATCTCTTTCGGGTAAGTACTTTTTTTGGTAATTAATCAAAGAGCTTTACAAAAAAAAAAGCTAACAGATTTGAACAGTCCCCCCCAAGCCTTTCTCAAGCACCTTAGCCAGGGGTGGAGGCAGCCGAACCCCCTCGGCGATTTTTTTTTTTTGATGACAAGGGAAACCCGCAGTCGCTACCCTTTGGGTGCGCACAGGGTAAAACCCCCGCTCTTATGCAATAGCTCGCAAACCACATAGGAGAGGTAATCCGCATTAGGAAAGCCCGGTGCGACGAGCTCGACCCAGAAGGCAAACCCCTTGCTTTCCCTGGCAAGGGGTTTCGAACAGAGGCGTATCCAGGATTTTGAGATGATGGGTGCACTATTACAAAAAGGTGGATCTAAGATATAAATTTGATTGATTTAACATTTAGGTTCTTATCACTAAAAATAATTAAAATTTTAAAATTATAGGTCCAAAGTTATTTTTACCTATCCAAACCACTTAGAGAGACATTATCCAATTTTAAAAAGGAAAATAAAACAAGATAGTTAAAAGATTCAAATATCTAACCTCACTTTGAGAGGTGCACCCAACATAATCGCACGGTATAATACTTCGAGTGTGGGTTCACATATCTATATTTAAATATTTTAAAAAAATATAACACTACTATATATGATTTCAGGAGGGGAGCATGGGTTCACGTGAACCCGGTGACCCCCTCCTGGATACGCCTCTGGTTTCGAACTTGAGACCTCCAACATCGAAGTCCCAAGCCCAAACCACTGGGCCACCCCGAAGGGTCGAAAAATATTACTATTTATACATGGTTAAAATTATTTTTTAGGTATGTATAATAGATGTCGAACCTCCTTCCACCAGTTCGTGTGTTTACTTCTCAGATTTTGAACCCCCTTATTAAATTTTTTGACTCCGCCACTGACCTTAGCCATCAATAGGCATTAGTACCTTATATAAGTTTAATCTATCATATTTAGGGATATACATTAAGATTATGTACTCTTCTTGCTAGTGTAGGTTGACATGATTCTTTCTCATGTACTGTTTGTCCTTACACTGGCAGCATAAGATCATTGAAAAACAAGATCTTTATGTATATTATGTATATTTGGCAGCATAATATACATAAATTTATTAATATGTTATCTAATCATGATTGAATGATATGTATTTTCCCTTTAGCATTTAATTTTTATGATTAAATTACTTTATTTTATACAAATATCTTGTTAAGTTAAGTACTTACTTATCACTATATCACAATTTTTCTTAGCCTACAATACAATGCGCCAATCTGAAAAATGCACACGATCGCATACACAAAGTCATATATAAGTTTATGTATTTTTTTACACATAAAAGAATTAAATTAATTTTTTCACGTAGAAGAATCTATTTTCTTAGGTAAAAGATTAATTTGTTGATTATGCAATTATTTCATTTTGTGCAGAAAAATGAAGAAATCTCTACAAGCAGCACACAAAGGCAAGATGTGAAAAAGGATCATAATTTCTGAAGATTATGATTTTAAAAAAGTTAGTTCTGGTGACGTAAAACGATATCTTATAAATTTTATTAATGCCCATGTCCTAGTATTGAACATTACAATCTTGTTGTGTTTTTATTTAATTAGTTTCTCCTCATGTGCATTGCACGTATATGTTGAGCTATTGGTACACTATTTTAAAAAAAATATCATCAATATTATTAAATCAAGTTTTTGAGTTTATAATGTTTATATATGAAAAACATTAGAATAACATACATATTCTTGCGACTATTATCAATACGGATCATCATATAATGACTTAGTTTGATAATGATTGTACATATATTATGCATTAATCGTAGCAAGGGAGATATCTGGAGCACTAGCAATATCTTGTCAGGTGCCACCAAAAGTACTATTACTATTTGAATCACATAATGACTTTTTTAAGCATAACAAAAAACTAGTGTTTGGCTATAGAATTGTAAACATTTTGAAAACATATATTTGTAAAAGGCATAAATCATAATATATGACCATTAACTTGATTTGAACTGACAATTATTATCTTTAATATTATCAGTGCATAAGTAGGCTCGTTAACTATTCAAAACTTGAATAAACAAACACTGAAATATTGCAGGTCACATAAGAACTTTATCAAAATTGCATTGATGAACTATTATGGGATTGTAGGTCGAATATCATTCTTTTCACCCTTTTTAAAATGATTGAATGTAATCCTAGATTGTTCCTAAAATATTGAAATGGGAGTTTTGACAAAGGTTTGGTGAAGATGTCTATAATTTTATAAGATCGGGGAATATATAGAGTTGTCAATGCTCCAATTTCAACCTTAGCTTCCCACGAACAAAGTGATAGTCGATCTCTATATGCTTTGTGTGGGCATGAAATACTAAATTTATGATTATGTAAAGTGCATTTTTTTTGTCACAAAAGAGTTGTGGTGGTTCACGTAATAATTCAATTCCAACATCTCGTATAAGAAGGTAATCCATATTAGTCTTGTCGATGTACTTGCCATTGACCTATATTCTGCTTCAGCCTTATCTTGAAACTGTTGGTTGCTTTTTTGATGATCAAGAAATACAATTAGCTCCTAGATATATACAACGAAAGGGTCAAAAATACCCTTAAACTATCCGAAATAGCTTATATTTATTAAACTATATTTCGGCTCAAAACTATCCTTCCCGTCAAACTATTGGGTCAAAAGTACCCTTCTTATTAACGAAAGTTGTTAAATGTCATGTGGATGTCACATTGCACGCCAATAGGGTTCCACTGCCACATAGACTAAAAGGAAAAGGGTCAAAAATACCTTAAACTATCCGAAATAGCTCATATTTACCCTTAAACTATATTTCGGCTCAAAACTATCCTTTCTGTCAAACTATTGGGTCAAAAGTGCCTTCTTATTAACGGAAGTTGTTAAATGCCATGTGGTAGTGGAACCCTATTGACATGCAATGTGACATCCACATGGCGTTTAACAACTTCGGTTAATAAGAAGGGTACTTTTGACCCAATAGTTTGACGGGAAGGGTAGTTTTGAGCCGAAATATAGTTAAAGGGTAAATATGAGCTATTTCGGATAGTTTAAGAATATTTTTGACCCTTTTCCGTATATACAACAACCAGTAGTTCTTCTAGTGTCCGGACAACATGCCCAATCGGCTTCACAAAATTCATATAGCTTTAAGAGGACTTTGGATAAGAAAATTTGATTCCATAGTGCATTGTTCCTTTGAGATATCGAAGTGTTCTCTTTATTGCTTTCATGTCTCTTTTTGTTGGCTCATTCAGTTTTTGACATACTTTATTTAAGTCTACCCCTCCTATTTAACACTCTTTAAATTATATAATGTAATATTTTGTGTAGGGTTCTTGTTATCCTCTTGCACTATAAATTATGCTTTATTATAGTCGATGGTATTTTTCACCCACTAGACACGTGAATTGTTTAAGATCGGACATCGATTATGACTCTGTCCCAAACCACAACCCAAAACTCAATTCTAGACGATACCTGACCCTGATCCTGACTTGAGACCTTGGACCCAATCCCAATCCCAACCCAAGATCCAAGACCCAACGAACAGGAACCTGAGATTCGACCTCGATTTAAAAATATTTTATTATTTATTGAGGTTATTATAAATTCAATGAAGTGACAAATTTTATAATGTTAACTTAACTACCTAATAGATAGATACTTGAAAAAAGTGCACAATTGCTTTTTCAAAGTGTTTAACAAATGCACGTTATATAATATGTTCGGATACTCAATTAAAACAAGTCGTACTAGTACATGTGTAAAATAACAAAAATAACCCCACAATAATATATATATATATATATATATATAATACTATTAAAGGCGCAGAAAGGGCAAAATATTTTCAATTCTATTTGGTTTCAAAGCTGCGTTTTCTCCGTATTACACAAATTGAAAAGAGAGCTTTGACGCCGACGCAACAATGGCGGACGATGATTATGATATGGACGGAGGGTTAGTGCCGCCGTCCTTTATTGTTTTTATCTTGTTGAAATTTGATGTTTATTTGGTTTATTATGTCTAATACCAATTGATTTGCCTATTGAGTATGAACTTATTTAGGGTTTAGGGCTAGGGTTTATGGAAAAACTTATTTTGGGGTTTGTCTGATTTTACTGTTTCGTTGTTTAGCTTGTGGTCGAGGCTTAGGGTTTTGCGAATTTGTGTTTTTGTTCTTTGAATTTAACATGACCTATTCTCTTCTTTTTGCCCCTTTCGGGCTTATTCTTCGTCTTTGATTATTGATTTATCTGTGGGAAGTGTTGAGGACTTGAGATAAACAAGTAAAGGTGTCCCCTTTCTGAAAGTCTAGCTTTTAGAGAGGTGTTTCACAGGATTAAACTTTTAAAACGAGGCAGTTCACACAATTCAATATGGTAACAGGGGTGGCAGAAGTCTCAGTTTGAGTCTCATTGTCACAAATTAACGGAATTGGTATGAGGATGACATGAATTGAGCTTAAGCAGGGAAAAATGGTCGGGGAGGACTCTTATAGCTGACCCTGGCTTTTTTGGATTGAGATTTGAGGCAGAGTTGTTGTACTTCTTTGTGCATGGTGCAAAAGAGAAAAAAGTTAGACCCACATGTGAGGAATATTCCATATCCAAAATAAACACTCAAAACTTCTCCAACATCTTAAGATTTTAAATGATGCAATTCACACTATTTAACGACAATGATCTATGTATTGGGAAGAGTATTCTTAAGATGACCTTGTAGGATATGGTGGAAAAATACCCTTTAAGCACTAGGTAGACTGAGGTTGCTCGATAACGGCTTTACCATTGAGTTCAACTTGTGCTGCATTGCTGCTTTTAGTAGATCACTTGTATCGATATAGAGATTATTGTGAATCTTAGCTAAGTAGTTCATTTAAGCATAAAGTTATTTAACTAGTTGCATATTGGAAGAAATTCACATGAAAAAACTTTCCCTTTCTTTCTTTTCTTCTTTATTCTTGTTTTATCCCTTCTACGAATTTCATCTATGGCCAATGCCCCCAGCTAAATAGGTGTAAAGAAAAGCTACCTGAGAAAAAGCAAGAATGGGAGAGGATGATCAGCTGTGCTTGAAGGTCATTTAGCACTGATGTTACAAGTGTCCTTATTTTGCTCAAGAAATACTTTGTATTACTAATACAAAGTTTTCAAATATATTTAAATATCTGAGTATTTCAAAAATTGCAGCAAACCTTCTCAATGTATATATTGCTTTCTGAAGTGCATGCTTGTACAAACCAGGAGCTTTCTACTTTTTTGGTTTCAAGCTTTCCCTAGATCACTTTATGCATTGGGTAGGGTATTGACCTTTCCTAGTAGCTACTTTTGTGGTTAAACCCGTTTGTGACTTGGTTTATTTGTTTGTTGTTTTTTGATTTGGTGTTTATGAAGATAAATTATGTTTGATTTTGGTAAACGTCATTGGATATTGTACCTATTAGGCATCTTATCTGTTACATTTGTGCAGATACGTGGACGAGCCAATGGATCCTGAACCTGATGTAAGATGATTTCTCTTATTTGTAATCCTCATTATAAGTATGTTTATGCTGGATAAGTATTTGATGAAGTATTTTTCATTATTGTGCTTAACTGACAGGAAGGAGCAGAGATTGAAGAAGATAATGGCAACAATGAGGACATACCAGATCCCCTGATGGGTGAAGGTGAGGAAAAACCAGAGCAGCAAGAGCCTGTGGAACGACCTCGTAAGACATCAAAGTTTATGACAAAATATGAACGTGCAAGAATCCTGGGCACTCGTGCACTCCAGATCAGGTCATTACTTTTTCCTCGATTCCGCTTTTGCCAAGGCCTTACTTTATAGTTTGATAACTTGTAAGAGCTGCAATATATATATGTTTTCTGACCTGGTGAGTTATTTTGTCCTCGAGCAGCATGAATGCACCTGTGATGGTTGAGTTGGAGGGAGAAACTGACCCACTTGAGGTAAGCCTCTTTTTAAAAATGCAGATTGTGCAACATGTCTATTTGGTGAAGTTTCTAGATTGACTGATGTCTTTTTTGTCAAAATTCATTTATGCTAATAGATTGCTATGAAAGAGCTCCGAGAGAGGAAGATACCATTCACAATTCGCCGTTACTTGCCTGATGGAAGGCAAGACTTCCTTTGTCTGTTAGCATTTGTTACTATATCTTCCTCTTTCCTTCCCTCATCCTATGTCTTGTCATTTCTCACTTAAATTAATTTTATCTTCTGTGTTTATTAGTTATGAAGATTGGGGAGTCGATGAACTGATTGTTGAGGATTCATGGAAGAGACAAGTCGGAGGAACTTGACTGCTGAAGTGCCTCTTTTGCTTGTTGCTGCAGACTTATTAGGAATGTTATCTGTCGTTTCTGGTTGTCGTACTCTGCTGAATTGTTGCCGACTTAATATTACCAATGCTATGAATATATTTTGGAAAACTCAAGTGATTAGTCGTATA